GTTGAGCAGTTAACGAAAAATGCCCTGTCGATCAGAATACTTATCGAGAATATTTCATTCATTCATTCATTCATTCTCAAGGAGGACACAACAAATGCATACTTTCAGCCCTTTTGGTTTAACCCCCTAGAATTAAGGGTTAGATGTTACCTTTAGAAACTTACATGAGAAAAGGGTCAATATGCAAATTAGTTTCAATGGCGTTCAATTATCTTTCCAACAGTTACCTATAGTTAATCATTTTTCGAAAAATGCCGTTCTAAACTTACAGAAGTAATTAGAGCATACCTGCATTCAAAATCTTCCCACCATTCGATCTGAAAGGAGAGTGAATACAATAATACTAACCTGAGGACTATGCATCTCAGTGCAGTGTGTAAGTTCAGATCGGCCATTTTCGGTAACTGTTCATCAAAAACTGAAGTATTGTAAAAAGAGACTCGAACGCCCTTTTATATGAGTTATACTAAGGGTAACATCTACCCGCAGTAGGGGATTGAACTGGGAGGGCTAAAACTAATAATTTTGAACTAGGAATAAGCCAAATAGTCAAAGTGGAATGCAATGATCACAAAGAAAGAGAAACTCGAAGTCAATACCACAGAAGTTCATAAAATGAACACTGCTCGCCACCAGCCATGATGGAACCACCCCAATTTCCGAAAAATAATATAAGAAGTCAAAATAGATTTAAAATCACTTCGGATTCGGAATCAGAACGCCCAATTCACTAACTATTCTCATTTTTTCTGAAAATTTTTCAGTTCTGAAAAATTCATTTTTGTCTCACTGTTCATGGAAACAACCCAGTACTTTACGTTATCGTTGGTTTGCGATCCTGAAATTTGATGAACCAAAATTCTACTCTATGACCAAGTGGGGTCATCTTCATCAGAAGTGAGACACACTGTATATTACTCAGAATTTCAAAATTCCGAGTTTCAAAATGTACGTCATTTCAATGTTTGTATTTTATTACAGGAAACGTAACTTTCTCCATCTGTTGATGAAGTAATGGGAACAGTGTATTTGAAATAGAGAACTCATGAAAAATATTAATAACATTTATTTCACATATATACCTAGTAACAAAGTTAGACTATTATATTTTATGGCAGGAACATCACAAGACTGGATAAACTGCCGAATATGCTATACCACATTGATCTTTATTCCGAGACATCAAGATATAACCATTTTGTCCCCAGTCGGCTCCCCAAGAATTCTTCACGATCCAATAGTCATTGCCCTTCAAAGAACCATATCCAACAGCCAGAACCCCATGGTTCAAAGCCGTGTTGCTGCAAGAATTGTCATCCAAAACACCTACAAAAACAAATGATAATCAATAGATTAGTAATGATCTTTCAGAAAAGGTATCTATATTAAGCACACCATTGTATATGATATTAGGATGGTATTAAATGTGGTTAAGCCTTCCCTTCACACGAAATATGTTAATTTACGTTATATGTTTCTGCACTATACTAACCAGAATCGTAGAACTGGAAGTTCATTGTTGCATCAATAGCAACAGAGACAGGTGCTTGTACTACAGCCTTCTTTAGATCATTTTCATCCCCTTTCTTCACCGACTTGTAGGAGGAAATCTTGACAGCGACCTGAGATTCATTGTACTGACACGATTGGTCTTTCGCCTTGTAAGGATAAGCATTTTCCAACATGATTCCATTATCTGCAGCATACTGCAGAGCTTGGTACAGGTAACCACCGTTACAGCCGTAGCAGTCGTACTTTTCTATTGTGGCGCAGTCCACAAACTGCTGTTCGCTCAGGGATAGCAGTTTTCCGTTTTTGATAAAATATTGTGCTTCGATTGATCCAGTCTGCATGAGCAAAATACCAAAATTATAAGCATAGTCTAGAGGTGTTAGGTCCAGTGGACGTGGAGGCCACATTTGACACTTACCGCACTGAAACTCCAGCATGATCCACAGCCTCCTTGGTTTTTGACTGCAGTGACAGCTCCTTTTTTTCTCCAGTCGACCTCATCGGGTATATCCGTATCCATGACGTCATCGAAACTGGCTTGCTCGACTTTCAAAGTGGTGTTCCATACGTAGGGGTTGCTGATCATGGCCAGAAATTCCTCGGGAGTTAGATCGGCAAATTTGTTGATTGCCATCTTGAACGTGGACTCGCCATTTTCATATTTTTTATTGTGGTTGGCAATGGTGAGCATGTTAGATTCGAAAATTGAATAGCGATTGGCTTCTTCTTTCATGTCGTAGTATTTTCCATGTGTCACCTGAAATCATAACGAATGATAAAAGTCAATGTCTCTATGTATCTTGATATTTGACTAGAGGGAGGACTGAAATTGAGGAAGAAAAATAATTATTCATCAGAGAGTAGGGACTTTATTGCTAGAGGTATCTTGTATGAAACCCAAAGTTTTTTGTGTCTGTTTTTAATTATCATTCCTGCTCTCAGTTGAAGTTCAGATTAATTGGGTTTAGCTCACCTTGAAATCATTCCACTCATTTTTGAAGGATAAAGCTTCAACAGCTATGGAAGCAACAGCAAATATAATGAAGTATTTCATCTGGACTTTTATACAGAAAATTTTTATCGATAAACAATAACAAACAATACAAATAAAAATATGTTAATAGATTGCATAATCATTGATTGATTTCTGTTCAAAGTGTGGCATGAGTAGATCATATCTCTGGATGTCTGGTTGATTGGAGAGTTGATATTCATTATGAAAACAAAATTTTTCGTCTGGTCGAAAACAATGGATATTTACTGCTGATGTTCAGTTAGATGAATTAAAAATAACAATAAGGGTAGCCCTCAATGTAGAAGCCATATTGGCCAAATTGTGGATGTTGAATTCATGCAAAACATACGTCCTTCTTTGAGAGGAAGTGTCAATTCTCAATTTCAGAGGATTTCGATTTTTCATACTCTCTTTTCGTATATTCAACAGATATAATTCAATGTTCGACGTGGCAAATAGCCAGGAAAGTAGTTGTTTTCGGTTTGAATATTCAGAATGATATCATGAGCATAATCTTTATATGAAGGAGAATGCAAATTCTCTACTTCAGAAGATTTTGTTTTCAAATTCTTATCGTGTGTGTTCAATAGATATAATTCAATGTTCGTCATGGCATATAGCCAGGAAAGTAGTTGTTTTCTATTGAATGAACCGAAAAAGAATTAATATTTTCATCACATGGAGAATAAGAATTCTCAATGTATTTCTTTATTTATATAAATTTTTTGTGTTCATAATTATATCTGAGAATATTCCATTTCTTTACCTCCTTTGAAACAATGACTAACGACAATCTGAGCCTGAACAGAAGTCAGATCAGACAAGTGACGGGACTAATAACCGGTCACTGCCCCTTGAGGAAACATTGTATGCATCAAATGGGCATCTATACAGACGAACCCATATTATGCAGACTATGCAATGAGGAGGAGGAAACTGCCATCTATGTAATATTGTAATATTGTATCTCTAACGCGCTAGTGCTTCGCAGTCCAATATTACATGGGTGGCAGTTTCCTCCTCCTCATTGCATAGTCTGCATATGTCGTCAGTCACTGTTTCAAAGGAGGTATAGAAAAGGAATATTCTCAGATATATTTATGAACACAAAAAAATGGATATATATATATATATACAGGGTGTTTCCTAACTACGGTTCCTAACTGCAGGTGGTGACTCGGCAGGTCATTTTAGGAAGAAAAGTTCTCATTAACATATGTCCGGAGTTGCTTCGTTTCTGAGATACAGGGCGTTGAAGTTCAAGAAAAAAACGGTAATTATAAAATATCAAGAATATCCTAGAACAGATTTGGTTAAAATTTGGTACTTTCATTTGAACTAATAAGGCGCTTATTTAGCCCTATTTAGATTGAAATTATTGGGGTCAGTGGCGTCTCAGTGGGCACCACAGCCAACAATATTGTGAAAAAAAAATACGCCACTGACTTTTTTTGGTGAATTTTTATTTTGTTTAGATTGAGCAACCCAAAATACAACTTTTTGGTCTCCTGCACTTTCTTCATATCCAGCTTCATTTTCGAGAAAAAAAAATCAAAGCCACTGTATTGCATATCATGAACACCTTCATTGGAGAAATGAGTTTTTCATTATTTCCGCCAAAAATTTTATTGACACTTGATATGCTGAAATTTCAGAAAATTTTACAAATAAAAGTACGAAATTTCAACCAAATCGGTTCCAGGATATTCATGATATTTTATAATTACCGTTTTTTTTTCTTTAATTCCAACGCCCTGTATCTCAGAAACGAAGCAACTCCGGACATATGTTCATAAGGACTTTCCTTCTTGAAATGACCTAACAAATCACCCCCTGCAGTTAGGAACCGTAGTTAGGAAACACCCTGTATATATATAAAGAAATACATTGAGAAATCTCATTCTCCATGTGATGAAAATATTAATTCTATCTCGGTTCATTCAACAGAAAACTACTACTTTCCTGACTATATGCCACGACGAACATTGAATTATATCTATTGAACACACACAATAAGAATTTGAAAACAAAAGCTTCTGAAGTAGAGAATTTGCATTCTCCTTCATATAAAGATATGCTCATGATATCATTCTGAATATTCAAACCGAAAACAACTACTTTCCTGGCTATTTGCCATGTCGAACATTTAATTATATCTGTTGAATATCCAAAAAGAGAGTATGAAAAATCAAAATCCTCTGAAATTGAGAACTGACACTTTCTCTCAAAAAAAGGCGTATGTTTTGCATGAATTCAACATCCACAATTTGGCCAATATGGCTTCTACATTGAGGGCTACCATTGTTATTTTTGATTTAGCTAACTGAACATCAGCAGTAAATATCCATTGTTTTCGACCAGACGAAAAATTTTGTTTTCATGATGAATATCAACTCTCCAATCAACCAGACATCCAGAGATATGATCTACTCATGCCACACTTTGAACAGAAATCAATCAATGATTATGCAATCTATTCACATATTGTTATTTGTATTGTTTGTTATTGTTTATCGATAAAAAATTTCTGTATAAAAGTGCGTGAAATTTATTTGCAAACCATCAGTTGTACTCCTAACTAGAAACAAGGTAAGAACATTAGTATTATTATTAGTACTACGTTTGAATTAATATCATGATCATACTCCTAACGCATTTAGGAGGAAACACTCAAGTAGTGTTATTTTCCTTGTGAAAAATCACCCATCGGCGTTTATTTTCACCTGCAATTTATGTTGATGAGAGGTGACAATGCAATTGGATAACATATTTTTATAGTGATTACTTCAAGCCTTCTTCTTTCCAGATGAAATACTTCATTATATTTGCTGTTGCTTCCATAGCTGTTGAAGCTTTATCCTTCAAAAATGAGTGGAATGATTTCAAGGTGAGCTAAACCCAATTAATCTGAACTTCAACTGAGAGCAGGAATGATAATTAAAAACAGACACAAGAAACTTTGGGTTTCATACAAGATACCTCTAGCAATAAAGTCCCTACTCTCTGATGAATAATTATTTTTCTTCCTCAATTTCAGTCCTTCCTCTAGTCAAATATCAAGATACATAGAGACATTGACTTTTATCATTCGTTCTGATTTCAGCTGACACATGGAAAATACTACGACATGAAAGAAGAAGCCAATCGCTATTCAATTTTCGAATCTAACATGCTCACCATCGCCAACCACAATAAAAAATATGAAAATGGCGAGTCCACGTTCAAGATGGCAATCAACAAATTTGCCGATCTAACTCCCGAGGAATTTCTGGCCATGATCAGCAACCCCTACGTATGGAACACCACTTTGAAAGTCGAGCAAGCCAGTTTCGATGACGTCATGGATACGGATATACCCGATGAGGTCGACTGGAGAAAAAAAGGAGCTGTCACTGCAGTCAAAAACCAAGGAGGCTGTGGATCATGCTGGAGTTTCAGTGCGGTAAGTGTCAAATGTGGCCTCCACGTCCACTGGACCTAACACCTCTAGACTATGCTTATAATTTTGGTATTTTGCTCATGCAGACTGGATCAATCGAAGCACAATATTTTATCAAAAACGGAAAACTGCTATCCCTGAGCGAACAGCAGTTTGTGGACTGCGCCACAATAGAAAAGTACGACTGCTACGGCTGTAACGGTGGTTACCTGTACCAAGCTCTGCAGTATGCTGCAGATAATGGAATCATGTTGGAAAATGCTTATCCTTACAAGGCGAAAGACCAATCGTGTCAGTACAATGAATCTCAGGTCGCTGTCAAGATTTCCTCCTACAAGTCGGTGAAGAAAGGGGATGAAAATGATCTAAAGAAGGCTGTAGCACAAGCACCTGTCTCTGTTGCTATTGATGCAACAATGAACTTCCAGTTCTACGATTCTGGTTAGTATAGTGCAGAAGCATATAACGTAAATTAACATATTTCGTGTGAAGGGAAGGCTTAACCACATTTAATACCTTCCTAATATCATATACAATGGTGTGCTTAATATAGATACCTTTTCTGAAAGATCATTACTAATCTATTGATTATCATTTGTTTTTGTAGGTGTTTTGGATGACAATTCTTGCAGCAACACGGCTTTGAACCATGGGGTTCTGGCTGTTGGATATGGTTCTTTGAAGGGCAATGACTATTGGATCGTGAAGAATTCTTGGGGAGCCGACTGGGGACAAAATGGTTATATCTTGATGTCTCGGAATAAAGATCAATGTGGTATAGCATATTCGGCAGTTTATCCAGTCTTGTGATGTTCCTACCATAAAATATAATAGTCTAACTTTGTTACTAGGTATATATGTAGATGTTTCACCATACTGTGGAATAAATTTTATTAATATATTCCATGAGTTCTCTATTTCAAATTCTCTGTTCCCATTACTTCAGCAACATATTATGGAGAAAGTTACGTTTTCTGTAATAAAATTGAAATGACGTACATTTTAAAACTCGGAATTTTTAAATTCTGAGTGATATGCAGTAATATACAGTAATATATTATATACTTCTAATGATGATGACCCCACTTGGTCATAGAGTAGATATTATGGAGTTAGTACATTCATTTGATAGTAGTAGATCTTCATCTTCAGGATTCAATGGTGAAGGAGTTACTTGCTGAAGTTGCTGAAAATATTTTACCTAATCTGATAATCCTCGAACTCTTGTTAGATAAACTGAAAAATGAAGGATTATGTTGGGGATAATTTGCCATTATATTCAAATACACAATCCATTGAACATTTCAGGTGGGTGTCGAAATTCATGTAGGTGCAAGGGGCAAAACATATTGAAAATCTAGCTACGACTGCTATGATGGAATATATTCACCATTCTTCCACAGAGGGTTGCCAGAGATATTGTGAATAGACTCAAAGGAGAGTTTGAAGCTTCAGAATATTATTCGAATAAAGATACAGGATCCAAACTTTTGTTTTTTTCGCAAACTCTGAATAGAGGTTATGTACTCAGAGGTTCTCGTGTGCCGCGTTCGGGTTTTCATAATTTGTCAACCGTTCTGAAACAGTCCTAGGATCCGAAACGACTGCGCACTAGATCTGCGCAGTTCGAGAACGATTCTTGAACAGTTCTGAAATCGGAACCCGAATGAACCTAATATCGTATTTATAGAATTTGTTTGAAACCTTCAGTATATGGTCCTTTATGACGGGCAGATCATGGCACTACGCGTACATATGTTTCTTTTAAATTTATTTACGAAAATAGGGGTCACAAACAGATTTGAAATCCAAAACAGAACCCTCTACAGGCTCTACATAATTTTCTAGTGGGCTCAACAAAAATTAAAACTTATTATAAACAAAATAACTAAGTGAAACTTACAAAGTGATTTTTAGAGTATTGAAGGAAATGGTATACATATACAGTGGAAATGAATGCGCTCGTATGGCACCAACCTGGAGATGGTCTAGAAATGGTCGATGAAATATCTTTTCATTTTGAATGTGAAACAATCCAGACTTAGTTCGAAATAATTCAGGTCATTACAGGTGCTGTGGAATATTCTGATCTGAGCATCCTACATAATGGTGTATTTTGGACAGCGTTTGTTTTATTCCTAAAACTGTGACAACTTCTTTTTCCGTCGACCTCGTATTAACGACAAAGTTTAATGTATATGAAATCGTTCATTAATGACCCCTATTAATGAACGATTTGTTTATTAATGCACGATTGTTTTATAGGCAACCAAACATACACCGCGTGCATTCATTGTTTATGCTATAACTCACGGAATCTGCATTTGAATCGAAAATATGGATTTCATCGAAGATTTTTCGTTAATGGGTACGCCTTTCCAAGTTTCCGACACGATTTTAATCCCTGTTTTCTAACACAAGGAATTTATTTTCTATGCTGATCATTTCGACAAATGTCAAATATCACTAATGTCAGTAACAAGGCTACTGGGTGATTCTTAGCAGTTTCCGGATGAATGATGAATTCGCGAACCAAGTTTTCTTCATTTCAGGAGAAATGAGAAATATAGTCGACGGAAAAATGGTGTTACCAACTTGTATATTAAAAGGTGATTAATGATCTCGAACATAAACGCGATCGCTTCGCTCGCACGTTAAAATATCTCGATCATTAATCGCCCTCATTAATACAGTAGTTGGTTAAATAACTATTAAAGAATCCTATCATTTTATTGCATTCGTTGATTTTTCTATGTGCGATTTGAATATCAATTTGGAGTCCATTATTATCCCGAGATCTTCAACTTCCGATACTGATTTCACCTCATGATTTTCGATTTTGTATGATAAATTGAGTTTATTCTTGTTCTTGGTATATGTGATTGAGATGCATTCATCAAGGTTGAAAAATAGGCTATTATCATCACAGAATAATGAAAGACGGTTCAAATCTTCTTGTATTTTTCTGCAGTCGCTTATATCCTTCACAGTGTGATAAAGTTTCAAGTCGTGTGCATATATTAGAATAGAACAAAATTTGAAAGACTTGATTATTTCATTTATATAAATAATCAAGAACAATGGTCCTAAGTGACTGCCTTGGGGGACCCCAGATGTTGCTTCAAAGGAATCTGAATTGAATCCATTGAGTGTTACCACCTCTGTGTCCTGCCAACCAAGTGAGACCAAATCCATCGCACTAGGAATGTGCTCACACCCATTTCAGCCAGTCTTTGTATCAAGATGTTGTGACTAATTTTATCGAAAGCCTTGCTGAAGTCGGTGTACACAGCATCCACCTGAACTCGAACAAGAAGTTTGTTAAATCTATCGAATTCGTTTCTATCGATCTTAGAGGGAAGAATCCGTGTTGTGCTTGGATTATTATATCCCTAGCTTGATCAAGGATTATGTTGAAAATGATCTTCTCGAAAAGTTTGCCACAAATGCATAATTTGCTTATGGGTCTGTAATTTTTGATATTGTGTCTATCACCACTTTTGTGAATTGGAATAATCTGGAATTCTTTGCCAATGGAGGTATTTCCAAAAACTTACCTACCTCCTCTCCCTATCCTCCCAAGGTACGCGCGATGTTCCACGAACATGATAGGAATTTCCTTTCATGCGCTCCAAGAGATAAAAAAAATACCGAGAAAGATATGGTGGATTTTTTGGGAATGGTGGTGATTACCCAAGGTCATTTGGAACATCTTTAGAAAAAAATATAGGTATGTACCTACTCCAGGCGGTATCAGTTCCTTTGAAGTTCGTTTCAATAGCATTGAACTGCCTTCGTCGTGAGTTCTCACTGTCCTGGGATGAAATGGGAATTTCGGAAGAGAAAGCAATATGGAGAAGAGTGGAGTGGAGTGAAAGGACCTTTTGCAACAGAATAGTTGATAAAAGAACTTGGAATATAATTTATGAAGTGAAGAGACTTCAAGTACCAAAAAGGCTATTCGTTTCATTCTTGTATTCTATTTCAGAAAACCTCAATTTATCCATATTGATGAAGTAATGGGAACGGTGTGTTTCAAGTAGAGAGCTCATGAATTAAAATTACAGCATTTTATTCTGCAGAATTATAAAAGGTCTACCTCATAACAAATTACAGACTATTATAATAGAGTGATAAACACATTACAAGACTGGATACACTGCATGATATGCTATAGCACATTGATCTTTATTCCGTGACATCAAGATGTAACCATGTTGTCCCCAATGGGCACCCCAAGAATTCTTCACGATCCAATAGTCGTTGCCATTCAAAGAACCGTATCCAACAACCAGAACTGCATGGTTTATACGCTTTCTGTTACAAGTTTCATCATCAAAAACACCTACAAAAATAAATGATTATCAATAGGTTAGTGATGATAAGATAAGATTGTAATATAGTGGACATATTCTGAGCAGATCATTGTAGGTATACGATATAAGCGAGGTTGAAATATTCCTCAAACTGACATGAAATATGTTATGCCCCTGCACTACTGACCAGATTTGTAGAGGTGGAAGTTTTTTGTCGCAGTAATACAAACAGAGATAGGTCCTACAAGTGCCACAGCCTTCTTCAGTTCATTTTCATCTCCTTTCTTCACCGACTTGTAGGAGGAAGTCTTGACAGCGACTTGCGACTTATTGTACTGACACGATTGGTGTTTCGCCTTGTAAGGATAAGAATTTTCCAACATCATGCCATTGTCCGCTGCATACTTCAAAGCCTTGTTCACGTAACCACCTTTACAGCCGCCACACTTGTATGTTTCCTTTGTTGCGCAGTCTACCATTTGCTGTTCGCTCAGAGAGACCAGTTTTCCTTCTTTGATGAAGTATTGGCCTTCGATTGTTCCAGTCTGCATGAGCAAAATAACAGAATTATAAGCATAGTCTAGTGGTGTTAGGTCCAGTGTACGTGAAGGCAACTTTTTTTACTTACTGCACTGAAACTCCAGCATGATCCACAGCGTCCTTGTTTTTTGACTGCAGTGACAGCTCCTTTTTTCCTCCAGTCGACCTCTTCGGGTATATCCGTACCCATGACGTCATTGAAACTGGCTTGCTCGACTTCCAAAGTGGTGTTCCATATGTAGGGGTTGCTGATCATGGCCAGAAATTCTTCGGGAGTCAGATCGGCGAAGTTGTTGATTCCCATCTCGAACGTGGACTCGCCATTTTCATATTTTCTGTTGTGGTTTGCTATAGTTAACATGTTGGATTGGAAAATTGAATAGCGATGGGCTTCTTCTTTTGGGTCGTAGGATTTTCCATGTTTCATCTGGAATAAGAACGGATGAATGAAAGCAGTTCCTTTGTTTCGTCGCATTTTTGACTATTATGTATCTCAGGTACCTTGAACAAACCCTACATTCTTGTTGGGTTTTTTGTTAATATTATTCTCGTTTTCAGTTGAAGTGTGGATTATTTGGGTTTGACTCACCTTGAAATCAATCCATTCTTCCTTGAAGGATAAAGCTTCAACAGCTATGAATGCAACAGCGAATATAATAAAGGACCCCATCTAAAACAGAGTTGGCGTAATCACTATTAAAATGTGTTATTTAACTTCAATCACATAATTGCCAATAGATGATGTCAAAAACAAGGAACATTGCCGGCTGGTTATCCAGACTTGAGACCACTTGAGTGTTTTCTCTCGAATGTGTTATGAATGTGATTATAATAATAATATAATAATGAGTTATATTTATAAGTATATATAATGTTCTCACCTTGTTTCCAGTCAACTACAGAAGCACAACTGATGGTTTGTATAGAAGTTTCACGCCATCTGATACAGAACATATTTATCGACAAACAATAGCAAACAATCAAAAATGGGATAATGTGAATAGATAAGAGACGAAATTTTCATTGATCAATTTCTGTTGCAACTACATGCTAGTAGGAGCAATCATCTCTTGCTCAACTCAAACAAACAGAAAGCTTGATCCACTGCTCAACACAAACAAACACAAAGCAGTGGCACAAATCATTAGAACCAATTGTTCAACAACTCAAGCAGTGAAGAGTATAGTGACAGACATAGTTGAGGGTCTTGATTTTTATGGTGTGAGGGGAACCGCAAATAGTTTCTCCAAATCTTATTTGTCTAATAGAAAGCAAGCGGTTTCTTGTAACAACAAATTATCTAATTTTCTTCAAATTAATAGTGGAGTGCCCCAGGGCTCCGTTCTGGGACCACTATCATTCATAATATATACCAATGATATTTTTCACTTTTTGTCTCCTACAGTATGTACGTGCTTTGCTGATGAAACAACTTCATTAGAAAAAAACAGTGATATAGATTTCCTGGAAGTAGCAATGAGTTAAGCTGAAGATAGAGCCGGGATATGGTTTGCGTCAAATCATCTCAAACTAAATAGTGAGAAAACCCAAAAACTTCTGGTTTCAACAGATAATAAAATCTACAGAGGTGAATATATCAACTTACTAGGCATAATTATTGATGATGGCCTGAAGTGGACTGAACATATTGACCAATCTTATTGATGGCATATTTTTCTTAATTTCAATCTCGACTCACTTATGGAATTCTTTTGTGGGGCAACTCAAGCCAATGCTTATGATTCCTCATGTAAACCATATGTTTCATAGAATATTTTGTAGGCATAATTTTGTTCTTTTTTTTTGTCATTTACTCTTTTTACTCGCTGCTTTTTATTTATATAGTACCTATTTACATTAGAGTTTAAGTTATTGGTATATCCAACGATGACCTGCCATACATGTATATATAACATAACATGGTTAAATAAACTATCTATCTATCTATCTATATGGCATCAATCTATTGAAAAATATGGTGAAACCTAAGCCGTGGCATTTGATATCTCCAAGGCATTCGATCGAGTCTGGCACCACGGACTCCTCGCCAAACTTAGAAGGTTGTACTCACGTTCTTACCTATGGTTCTCCATTTTGTTTTTCAGAATTTTTGATTTGATAAAAATTTTGTTTTTCACTTTTTATAATCGATTACTGATCAATTATCTTGTATACTCATGAAAATCACTGTTGCTCTTTGATCTAACTGAAATTTTTTAATCAATTCAATTTGAATTTACAACTGTTGTCTTTTCCATTTTCAATTTTTCTTATATATAAAATCATGTTTGGTTTTCTATTGTAGATACAATTTGTTATATTTTTTGACTGAAGATGGCGATTTGAATGGCCGAAACATGTATCAACCTTAATGAAGCAGGATTGACTGCCTGATTATACATTAAAAAAAATAAAAATTGTGTAGACGACTTTGGGTTTTTCTCTATTGATCATTCCACTACACTATTTCAACTCCATTTCAACGATTTTTTGGAAGCAACTTCATGTCCAGTACACAGCTTCGTGGATGATCGTACCCTCCATACCGCCTTCGCTCCAATGCCAGCCAAGCAAATCATAAACGAACGAGGAAGGAATGTTGAAAACATAAATATGGACCTGGCAACAATTCTCGAATGAGGATCCAATAACTTGGTAGATTTCAATGCAAACAAAACACAGGCATGCCTTTTCTCTACAAAATCCGATCTCACTGTGCCCAACATGAGCTTGTCAGGAGTAACCATACCTTTGAAGACATCCATTTTGATGCTTGGTATTACCATCAGCAATAACCTTTCTTGGAAAAATCACGTGAGATCAATTGCTAGAAGTGCATCCCAAAAACTTGATTTTCTGGTACATGCCAGGAGCTATTTCACTTCCTGTCAGTTGCTAATGACTTATGAGGCACAGATCCGACCTGTCCTGGAATACTGTTTCCCTATTTGGAGTGCAGCACCCAAACATACCCTAAAGCTGTTAGATTCTGCCCAAAAAAGGGCAATTCGTTTCGTGGGCGATGCCTCGCTCACAAACTCACTCACTTCTCTGGAACACCGTAGAAAAGTTGGCGATCTGGCTCTATTTTATAGATATTTTCATGGACGATGCTCTTCTGAAATATCAACAGTTGTTCCTCCCTTGGCAGTCCATGCGAGACTAACCCGTCGAGTTGAAGCTTCGCACCCCTCCGTGGTCACTTAGAAAAAGTCAATTTTTCCATATTGATGAAGTAATGGGAACGGTGTGTTTCAAGTAGAGAGCTCATGAAATAAAGTGAAACATTTTATTTTGCAGAATTATAAAAGGTCTACCTCATAACAAATTAAAGACTATTATAATAGAGTGATAGACACATTACAAGACTGGATACACTGCATAATATGCTATTGCACATTGATCTTTATTCCGTGACATCAAGATGTAACCATCTTGTCCCCAACCGGCTCCCCAAGAATTCTTCACGATCCAATAGTCCTTGCCATTCAAAGATCCATATCCAACAACCAGAACTGCATGGTTTATACCTTTTTCCCTACAAGTTTCATCATCAAAAATACCTACAAAAATAAATGATTATCAATAGGTGAGTGACGATCTCTCAGAGAAGATTGTAATATAGGGGACACATTTTGAACAAATCAATGTAGGTATACGATATGGGCGAGGAATTGAATGTGGTTCAAATATTCCTTGAACTGACATGAAATATACTATGCCCCTGCACTACTTACCAGATTTGTAGAGCTGGAAGTTATGTGTCGCATCAATACAAACAGAGATAGGTCCTACAAGTGCCACAGCCTTCTTCAATTCATTTTCATCCCCTGACTTCACCGACTTGTAGGAAGAAGACTTGACAGCGACTTGTGACTCATTGTACTGACACGATTGGTCTTTTGCCATGTAGGGATAGGAATTTTCCAACATCATGCCATAGTCCGCAGCATACTTCAAAGCATTGTTCGCGTAACCACCTTTACAGCCGCCACACTTGTATGTTTCCTTTGTTGCGCAGTCTACTATTTGCTGTTCGCTCAGGGAGACCAGTTTTCCTTCTTTGATAAAGTATTGTCCTTCGATTGTTCCAGTCTGCATGAGCAAAATAACAAAATTATAAGCATAGTCTAGAGGTGTTAGGTCCAGTGCACGTGAAGGCCACTTTCATCACTTACCGCACTGAAACTCCAGCATGATCCACAGCCTCCTTGGTTTTTGACTGCAGTGACAGCTCCTTTTTTTCTCCAGTCGACCTCTTCGGGTATATCCGTATCCATGACGTCCTCGAAACTGGCTTGCTCGAATTCCAAAGTGGTGTTCCATATGTAGGGGTTGCTGATCATGGCCACAAATTCCTCGGGAGTCAGATCGGCAAATTTGTTGATTCCCATCTCGAACGTGGACTCGCCATTTTCATATTTTTTGTTGTGCTTTGCAATAGTTAGCATGTTGGATTGGAAAATTGAATAGCGATTGGCTTCTTCTTTTGGGTCGTAGGATTTCCCATGTTTCATCTGGAATCAGAAAGGAAGGATGAGGGCAATTTTTTCGTTTCGTGGCATTTTTTACTATAGGTATATCTCAGGTATCTTCAGTTGAAGAGCGGATTATTTGGGTTTGACTCACCTTGAAATCAATCCACTCATTCCTGAATGATAAAGCTTCAACAGCTATGAATGCAACAGCGATAATAATGAAGGACTTCATCTGAAACAGAGTAGGCGTAACGACTATAAATATGTGTTATCTGACTTCAATCACATAATTGCCAATAGATGATGTCAAAAACATGGAACATGGCCGGCTGGTTACCCAGACTTGACACCTCTTGAGTGTTTTCACTCGAATGTGATAATAATATAGGTAATGATAAGTTATATTTATAAATATATAATGTTCTCACCTTGTTTTCAGTCAACTATAGAAGCACAACTGATGGCTTGTATAGAAATTTCACGCCCTTTTATACAGAAAATATTTATCGACAAACAATAGCAAACAATCACAAATGGAAACATGTGAATAGATAAGAGACAAAATTTTCATCGATCAATTTCTGTTGCAACTATGAGGCACCAGTAGATTATATCTTCTGCTCTTGAAGAATTGATAATTAAATTCATTGAAAAATAGTTTGTTTGGGCTTGTTGAAAACAATGAACATTATTTGCTGATGTTGTCCAGTTGGCCAAACTCAATATATTAAGGAAATCAGGGCATTGGCAGAAACTCTACTTGAATATGGAATAATATACTGGGTGTCCCTATTCAAATAAGATAGTTGAGGTGCACTTCGGTGTGACCCTGTATACCTACGATTTATTCAATAGCATAATTCGAGTGAGCATCATCAAATATACTGGATGACCAAATTTCAAGTCATTCGATCGCGCGGTTGATTTTTTACATTTTGGCTGGGACACGCGGTGTACAGATTGAGTCATAACTTTTGGGACATAGCCTAAGGGCGGATTGTCTGGAACAAAACAATGAAATAATGTTGTCCTCGTACCAAAATGAATTCACTGACAAGAAATGTCAATCACCAGCAACAATCTGACAGTCCAAAGCACACTCTTCATAGATAAAATAATATTTGAAATCCCTTTCCGAAACTTTGAACTGTTCAAACGGGTGGAAATATTGTGTTCAAACAAGAGTGCCAAT